AGGGCAGAACAGAAAACGATGCCTTCTTACATCTTTACCAACTACAAAATGCTGCAGTCTGTCCACCTTCTGGGTTCCAGTCAGCCAGCCATGCCCTCCTTCAGAACACTCCATTCTATTCCCCCTTGCCGACATTCCATGCCTATGCTCACTTCTCGTTCTCTCTTCCACGCAACTATCAGAGGGGAAGGGGCCCTTTTGCATCTGTGATAGGAAAATCAGCTACAGAAAGCAATTCACAGCACTTCTTGTTTGACAACAACATTTGGAGGACAACAGATGAAGAATCCTCATTGACATTTGTAGATCTAAGTCAGCCATGTCAATGGGTCTACTCTGAGTAGGACTAGCATGGGTGCAATCCAAGAACTTGTGGCTGAATAATGCATGGAGATCTCTTAGCGTGTAGAGGAGATGTGATTTGGAGCTTGCTTCATGCATCCATATACCTTGATCTGGTCCCAGGCTGGGTGTAGGGAAGAAATGGAGTTCAGTTTGTAATTTAAGGTGAACTTATCGCTATTATTTGTGATTGTTATTTTATTTTTATTATTAAGGGAACCTGTTTAATTCACACTTCCCAAAACTGCTAACAAAGGGAAATGCACCCATTCTTCGAAATCTGCACTTTTCCAAATGTTCTGATGAAGTTCTCTGACAAAAGGATGTTGTTGTTTTTAAATGCGTATATTGGGTTGCAGTCAGTGTTTTCTCCCCCTAAAAAAATGTTTAGGGGTACTCTCATTTTCCTACTCATATTGAAATACTGCCCATCAATGAGGCCAAAATGTTTAGGGGTATGTGCACCCCTGTATACCCCCAGAAAAAAAGCACTGGTTGTAGTGCCACTCCAGAGTGGTCCTACTAAAATTGAACTTTCTGGCAGTAAGAGCTGTTTGACAATGGAATTGACTCACTCAGAAGTTGATGGACCTTCACTGGAAGCTTTTAAATAGAGGTTGGATGGCCATCTGTCAGGGATTCCCACATTAGGGGCCCAGTCAGATGGGTGACTAATACAGTGGTACCTCTGGTTACATACTTAATTCCTTCCGGAGGTTCGTTCTTAACCTGAAACTGTTCTTAACCTGAAGCACCACTTCAGCTAATGGGGCCTCCCGCTGCCGCCGCGCCGCCACTGCACGATTTCTGTTCTCATCCTGAAGCAAAGTTCTTAACCTGAGGTACTATTTCTGGGTTAGCAGAGTCCGTAACCTGAAGCGTATGTAACCCGAGGAACCACTGTAATAATAATAATAATAGTAATAGTAGTAATAGAGTAATAGTAGTAATATATATTTATATATATATATATATATATATATGACCCTCAGGAGTACCTTCCAACTCTACAATTATATGATGGGTATGAATAACTTAGGCCCATTACTTTCAATTAGTGTATTCTAAGTATAATTTAGTAGGGTCCAACCCATTATAAAAAAGAATATATTAGTGAAACTTTGATGTTAACAAATGCATTGATTAAGGTAAAACTGCTTGCAAGAATGTAGATTAAAATGCTGACAAATTTCCACCATGACTAAAAAAAAAGTAAAAAGTAAACCGATGTAGAAATGCAGGGAGCTAAACTTGAAATTGGAAAAAGGAGAAAGTGAGACGAACTGAAATTGACAGATCCATCCATCCCTAGCTGGCACGGGGGGGATATTCGAATATTCAATAAATAATTAGCACTAAAAGTCATTGCAAAGAGGCTGTGGCAAAGGGACAATTTGCGAGTGTGCGTTGTATATATTGTATACTTAGTACAAGTTTAGTACTGAAGTTTAGTTCTTAAAAAAAATGGTTTTCTTTTCCATGGGTTCCTGGCTCTTCCTTCGGCAAGAAAGCATGTTTATTTTTAAAAGGCCTTGTGTGAGTCTTTTTAATGGAAATGTTCCCGAGAGAAAATGAGCAATAAATGACCCCAATGAAGACATTAAAAGTTATCCATATGATTGTAATTATGAAGTCAAATTCGTTCAGCCGAGCATTCTGTCATTCCCCATTCTCGTTACAACTCCTGCCATAGGAGCCAGCTCATTTTCCACTTCTTATTACAGCCTTTGTCATAAAAATAAGTCATCCCAGTTTCAAGCGAGTAATAAATTCTCCAAATTACAGGCTAAGGATGCATGGTGTTAATTTTTGTGTGTGTCCTACCCCCCTCGCTTAATAGGGGCTGGTTAGTTCCTACCGCTCCCCACTCTTAGAAAGACATGTTGGCTTAAGGGGGTGGTGGTGGGGAGCTGGGCGGAATTTACTAGCTGAGAGAGAGTCTACCCAGAACCCACTTATCTGTTGGACAATGTCTCTATGAGCATCACACTAGTTTCTGGGTGATTCAGTGCTGAAGTGGAGAGGGAGGGTATTCAGGGACATCAGGTTCATACAGAATACAGTGGTACCTCGGGTTAAGAACTTAATTCGTTCTGGAGGTCTGTTCTTAACCTGAAACTGTTCTTAACCTGAGGTACCACTTTAGCTAATGGGGCGTCCCACTGCCGCTGCACCGCCTCCACACAATTTCTGTTCTCACCCTGAAGCAAAGTTCTTAACCCGAGGTACTATTTCTGGGTTAGCAGAGTCTGTAGCCTGAAGCATCTGAAACCCGAGGTACCTCTGTATGGAGCTACCTTTGCATGATGCAAGGCTAGGTGAACCTCAAGCCTGGGGGCCAAATACAGCCCTTCAGTCCTCTGAATTTGGCCCTCAGAAGTCTTCCCAAGCCACAACCCTCACTAGCCCTTTAGCCTGCCTGGGATGTGCCTTCAGGTGTGTGAGAATGTGTGGAGAAACCAACTTTCTACACAAAGGTAAAAGATACATTAGTTGCTTGGCCTACTTTTGCCTCAGGCCCTAACCACCACTTATCTTCGGCCCTCGAATCCAAACCATCTTCTGAAACTCACACTTACCTGAATGTTGCAATGCAGTCCTCCATTCAAACGGCATGTGCTTAAACACATGTATTAGGGGAAAATGTGTGTCAAAAGGTATAGTATCTGAGAAAATAATGTACCAAAAATGCGTTTGATTAGGGAAGATTGCTTTTTTAAAAAATGGGTTTGTCGGGAGAAAGGCACAATAAAACAAAGGTGATTTTTTGGGAAGATTGCTTCGTTGTTGGCACCCATCTGTCTCAGGAAACAATGGAAGAGTGCGCTTTCGGGGCTGAAGTCAAAGCGTTGAGAGTTACAGTGCCTGCTATGGCTGTAGAGACTGATATGGGAGAGACAGTTTTTATTGCAGCTGGGGCAGATGAAGGCGTCTGGTTTCATTGCTACAGATGCACCATGGGATTCCTTCTCTCTGCACTCCTTTCAGCAGTCATTCTTCCTCTGGTCACTGCTGTAGATATATAACCTGACTGACAGTCTCCAGGCACTGTGAGCATCTGCAAGGGATTCCCATATGGCAGGGTTAATGTTGCCAGCCTTGGTGTCATGTTTGCAGACATTTTTGTAACACAAAGTTGGTCTGCCAATGGGCCTGGTGCCAGAAGTTAGGTCCCTGTTGAGCACATCCTTGGGGATTCTGCCATCTTCCAGTGTGGTGTAGTGGTTAAGAGCAGTAGACTCGTAATCTGGTGAACTGGGTTTGCGTCTCCGCTCCTCCACATGCAGCTGCTGGATGACCTTGGGCTAGTCACACTTCTCTGAAGTCTCTCAGCCTCACTCACCTCACAGAGTGTTGTGGGGGAGGAAGGGAAAGGAGAATGTTAGCCGCTTTGAGACTCCTTTGGTATCAAATCCAAACTCCTCCTCCTCCTCCTCCTCCTCCTCCTCCTCCTCCTCCTCCTCCTCCTCTTCAATCCTCCTCCTCCTCCTCCTCTTCTTCTTCTTCCTTTGTGTGTGTGTGGGGTAATTATAGTCATACCTTGGTTTTCAAACAGCTTAGTTCCCAAACGTTTTGGCTCCCGAATGTCGCAAACCCAGAAGTGACTGTTCCAGTTTGCAAACTATTTTTGAAGCTTTTTTTGAATCAGAAGCCATGATTTGGTTTGTGAACATTGTGGAAGTCAAGCCGACTTCCGTAACGGATTCCGCTCGACTTCCAAGGTATATACATATCTGAAATGTGGTAAGCTGAACTTAAAATTGGAAGAATAAGAAATGGAGAGAAACGAAAATTGAAAAAAGTTGCCCATTCCTATATATATAGCTCTCAGGCATCTCACATCTAATCTGTAATTTCTCTCTAAGTCTGCCCAAACACTACTTGGTGAAACATGAGTGTGGGGCATTTTGGTGATATGGGGCAGGACTGGGAAAGGCTGGCGAAACATGATGGCTTTACCAGCAACAGGAAAGCACACTTCTTGGGGACTTCTGGCTGCTGTTTGTTCCGTAAGTCACAGGAATATAGTTAAATGCCTTATACTATATTCCACTTCTATTAATTGTTTCAGCAATTCCTTTCCATCTTCCTCTGTTTTCTATCCTATAATTATCTTAGCTCATTCTAACCTTATTTTTCCTTTAATACTCTGTTAACCTATCTGTACTTAATTCATTATAACATTTCTACTAAAGCCATATAACTTCATTCCAACATTTTTCTAACATTCATTAATTTTACAGTATTTCTGTAGATAATCTTTAATTTTTTTCCAATCTTCTTCCACCGACTCTTCTCCCTGATCTCGGATTCTGCCAGTCATTTCCGCCAGTTCCATATAGTCCATCAACTTCATCTGCCATCTGGAATACAAAAAGGGAGGTGTGAGGAGGTAGTGGAAATAAGTGAATGAAAGATGGGATAATGAAATGGTTTGATTTATTTTATTGTTTTTGTTTTGTTTTGTTAATTTGATGTGTTGTAGTGTATTGTCTTTTTAGTGTTTAAGTTTTTGGAAAAATAATAAATATTATCTAAAAAAGAAAAAAGAAAATGCCTTATACTGAGCTAGACCAATATTTCATCTTGTTCAGCATTCTCTTCATTTACCAGCAGAGGCTGCCCAGGGTTTCCAGCAAGGAATCTCTCCAAGCCTTACCTGCAGGTGCCGGGTATTGAACCTGCGCCCTTCTGCATGCAAAACAGATGCTCTGCCAATGAGTTATAACCCTTCCCAGCAGGAATCATAATTTGTGATGCCGTAGTCTTGATCCCGGGGACTTATGAGGGGAAGAAGTGGTGGCTGTCCACAGCTTGGATGCTGCTAGTCAGTGTGGACAGGTAAAAGGTAAAGGACACCTGGATGGTTAAGTCCAGTCAAAGGTGACTATGGGGTTGCGGTGCTCATCTGTATACCTGAAGGAGCGTCTCCACCCCCATCGTTCAGCCCGGACACTGAGATCCAGCGCCGAGGGCCTTCTGGCGGTTCCCTCATTGCGAGAAGTTAGGTTATAGGGAACCAGACAGAGGGCCTTCTCGGTAGTGGCGCCCGCCCTGTGAAACGCCCTCCCTTCAGATGTGAAGGAAATAAGCAGCTATCCTATCTTTAAAAGACATCTGAAGGCATCCCTGTTCAGGGAAGTTTTTAATATTTAACGCTGTACTGTTTTTAACACTTGATTGGGAGCCGCCCAGAGTGGCTGGGGAAACTCAGCCAGATGGGCAGGGTATAAATAATAAATTATTATTATTGTTGTTGTTGTTGTTGTTGTTGTTGTTGTTGTTGTTATTATTATTATCTCGCTTTCAGGCCAAGGGAGCCGGCGTTTTTCCACAGACAGCTTTCCGGGTCATGTGGCCAGCATGACTAACCACTTCTGGCACAACAGAACACCGTGATGGAAACCAGAGCACACGAAAACACCGTTTACCTTCCTGCCACAGTGATACCTATTTATCGACTTGCACTGGCATGCTTTCGAACTGCTAGGTAGGCAGGAGCTGGGACAGAGCAACAGGAGCTCACCCCGTCATGGGGATTCAAACCACCAACCTTCTGATTGGCAAGCCCAAGAGGTTCAGTGGTTTAGACCACAGTGCCACCCGCATCCCTTCAGTGTGGACAATGCTGAGCTAGATGGACCAATGATCTGAGGTTCCTACATGCCGACGTGCAGCACCATTGGCACGCATGTGCTAACATTACAAGCTGGGAGGAAATTTTCCGAAAACTGTCCCATCCTCATCCTCAACTCAAAAAATCGCAAATTGCTGAGTGAATTCCAAATCAAGAGGAACATAGCGTGTGAACGGAATCCAGATTCCACCACCAGAACGAAGGTGTGAGGCTCCATGATCTTCCACCGCTAGTAGGAGGAAGCAAAGCCCAGATGACTCAATGTGTGGGCAAATGCGAGGACTCCAGCATTATCCGCCTTGCTGCTTGTTCCAACAGCTCCCGCGTCTCTCCTTGTGGCCTTTTGAACCCTAATGGAAGCTCAAGGGGGTGTGAATATCATGAAAGATCCCATTCAATATACTTCCTAACCTGTCTTTGCCAAATCAAGTGGTACAGAAAAGTTCTGGGACGAATTAGGCAGCCAGATGTGAGGAGCTCAACTCACCAGCCAGTTAGCAGTCGGTGCCAGCAGACGCAGGAAGCAGCCAAAACGTTTGGGTGCCAACAAACCCTCTAGAGGGAGCCAGAGAGCTTTTCCTGCCTTACAGTGAGAGATGAGAGAGAGAGCTTGAAAGTGCTACTTGATCTAAAACCGGGATGGCCAATTGTGGAAGTCGTGGTAAAGGAGACTTGATCGATCCCACAGATCTTGGCATGTTCCAAAGAGTGGTGCATAGGCTAGGGTTGAAGACAAAGTATCTGTCTGAAGGAAATGGGAGACAGAATTTTAAACTGGTTGCCCAGGGAAACACTTTAACATCATCTTGAATGAGGGGTGGTGAATGAACATCATCTAGAGCAAGCATAGGCAAACTCAGCCCTCCAGATGTTTGGGGACTACAATTCCCATCATCCCTGACCACTGGTCCTGTTAGCTAGGGATCATGGGAGTTGTAGTCCCAAAACATCTGGAGGGCTGAGTTTGCCTATGTGTGATCTAGAGGAGGGGTGGTGACCCTCGAACCCTGGAGCCAAATGTGTCTCTATATGTCTCCTTGGACCCACCACAGGCCACACCCCTTTCCTAGACCACACCTCCCACTAGACCAGCCCTGTGCCTTTACAGAGTGCTTTTGCCTGACTGGAATACCTCCTTTTACTGATGCCTCTTGCTTGCCTAGATGGTGAATGGGGAGGTTTTAGGTGCGTCCAGAAACCTCTGGCTTTTTTTTTTTTTTTGGTGAGGTTGGAATATAGCCCAAAACACAGCCACATCTCTTGTCCTGCCTACTTTTGCTTAAATCCCACTAGGCATGAAGTCCCAGGAAGGTTGCCCATGTGCCTCTTAGGCTGAAATGGGTCTCTCACCCCTGATCTAGAACCTTGCAACAGGACTCCACCCTGTGCTCCTCATTGGCTCTTGTGAGCCTGACTTTTCTTCAAGGCACTAGAAGCAAGTCAGGTTCAGGAGATCCAACGAGGGGGAAGTGGGGGAGCCATGCTGGAAGGCAGCACTGCCTCCCTGCCTACCTGCAACATCTCACGGCGGCCTTTTTAGCAGCTTCAGGGGTAGTCAATGTGGACTACAACTCCCATCACCCCCCTGTTCTTAACCATGCTGGCTGGAGCTGGTGGGAGCTGTGGTCCACAACATCTGGATGGGACCATGTTGTCTACCCTAGAGCTACTGTTTTAGCTCTTTAGAGACACAGTTTGGCTCCCCTCTTCTATCCTCTGGCCTTGAATGGTCAACCATATATCTCTGTGGTTATGCACCTAGCTGAAGAGAGCAGTCTGGTCCACAGCTCTGTGTTGCTTTGCTTACCTAGGCTGCCTACCCATTGCCACCAATGCCCAGTGCATGAGCTACAGAAGGGATGTTACAAAGGGCGTGCCTCCTTGCTCTTTTGGGTGATGCCTTTAGCTACTCTTGGAAGGTTATGAAGGGACACAACACTGTCTTAAAACTGGAAGCAGTCAGAGAAAGGATCTGTGGCTTTGGTTTGGTCTTTTGGTAGAAAAGGGCAACCACAAAGATGAAAGGTCTGGAACAACTCCCCTAATATGAAATGTTACAGAATTTAGGACTATTTAGGGCTTTGGGGGTGAGGGGAGGTAAGTAATGGTAGGATGTGACAGAGGTACCGTATTTTTCTGCCTATAAGACACCCACATGTATAAGACGCCCCCTGGTTTGGACAGATCTGTGCATCCCCAGTTTAAGATACCTGATGGGAACTGAACTGGCAATTCAGATGATCAGAAGACATTCCTGATTTCACCATAAAGCTAAAATGGGTGTGTTGTGTGTGGTTTTTTTAAAATAAGTACCCTGTAATTCTCCTGAGTGGTTCATTTTCCAGTGCCTGGAGAAAATCAGTCAAGTTGTCTATCTACAGCATTGACCAGAGGAGGAATAAACTTTGGGATGAGTGCAGGAAAAAAGGGATGCCATGGTGCATCTGGTACCAGCGAAAGCAGACACATTCATCTGCCCCAGCAGCAACAAAACGTGTCTCTCCTGTATCAGTCTCTACAGCCACAGCAGGCGCTGTAATTCTCCAACCTCAAAGGTGCACTCTGCTATTGACTCCCGAGAAAGACAGATGCCAGCAATAAAACAACAGGTCCACTCTCCATTACAAGGTAGCAAAGATTGGAGACTTTTGATTCCAGTGATCTGTGTGCTTAAATAACTACTGTTTCAGATCTGGGCAAAACACAAATTTTGTGTTTTCCCACCAAGCATTCCAGCATGGAACACATTAGGAGCAAGCTATCTTTGAACAGTACCTGCCTATTCCCCTTTTCATAGCCAACAGGATGCTGAAACATTCCAGAATCTTCCATCCTTTGTACATGTGCCAGTAGCTGTCTCGCTCCTTCTCTTACACTCTGCAATATATACACCATGTGCAATGAATGAAACACCGTTTTGCAGTCATGGAAGTTTTATATATGCAATAGGCAAAGATCTCTAGCCATGGAACAGCAATGTTGCTACAATAGAATGTTCATGAACATCCCTCTTGCTTGGGATGGAATGGGGAGACCTCAGAAATGTGAAGTTGGCAAACTCTGAAGCTTCCACAAGGAAAATAAAATAGCAGCTTGAGATGGCGGGGGAGAATCAATAGTATTTAAGGCCAGGAGCAATTTCCCCACTGTAATGTTTCATGGGCCCTTCTGCAACTCTGTGTGTCCTGAGTTTCCTTGTCCTCTTACATGATCCAGAAGTCACCTGCCAGTCCTAATATGCGCCAGTCACTACTAGGGCATAGGCCTATCTGAAAGGCTAATGGAAGCCCCATCTGAACTATACATTTAAAACAGCATCATACCACTTTAAACAGTCATGGCTTCCCACCGAATCATTTGGGAACTGTAGTTTGTTAGGGGTACAGGGAGTTGTTAGGAGAGCCCTGTTCTGTTCACAGTGCTACAAATTCCAGAGTTCCCTTTGAAGAGAGATGGAGGACTCGGATGTACAGCTACAAATGAAACATTTTAAGTGTGTTTTAAGTGCAATGTAAAATATGACACTAGATGGTGATGGTAAGCCTTATGGGAAATCCAATGTATTTTTAAAAACACTTTTTAAAAAAGCATTTTCAAAATGGTTTTTATATGTGTGTAGATTCCACCTGGCTGTTAATCCACATTGAGAATTGCAGCTCAGGATGAGGGGTTGGTGGGAATAGGGGTCTCCCAACAGCTCTCAGCGCTCTAATCAGTCTATAGTTTCCAAGTTTCTTTGGGGAAAGTCATGGCTGTTTGAAGTGGTATGATGCTGCGTTAAATACAGTCATACCTCTGGTTAAAGTAGCTTCAGGTTGCGGATTTTCAGGTTGCATTCCACTGCAACCCGGAAGTAATGGAATGGGTTCCTCCTGGGTTTCGCCTCTTCTGCAGATGCTCAAAATGACATCACGCACATGCGCAGAAGTGGCGAATCGCAACCTGCACACACGCAGACGTGCAGACGCTCAGGATGCGAATGGGACTCTGGAACGGATCCCGTTCGCATCCAGAGGTACCACTGTATATGGTGTAGATGGGGCCAGGGTGATGTGATGGGGTCAATTTGGATCAGAATTTATGCAGATCAAAACCTTCAAGCATT